ACTTCTTAAATAAGATAATTCTTGGCTCTATAGCACTTGAATGGTGTTCCACTATAAGAAAAGAGATATGATTTGGTGCAAATGTTGAAGCAACTACAATCATTTTTATATTTCCACTTTCTATCATTTATTTATTTTTTTATAATAATAAATTGAATTGATGTGTCATAAGCATTAACTTCTTTAATTATTCTTGCATTTGTGCCATTACATTCTTCATTTAGAGAAGCTCTACCATAACAATACTTAGAAAAAAAAAAGATATCTAATATTACTCAAGACAAATAAAAGAAAGAACTTGAAAATAATAAAATTACTAAAAATAATATCAATTTACAAGAGGATAATCCACAACTTCTAATATGCTTATGTCCTATCAAGAAAAAGAGATAATCTACTTTTAATCAACAAAAGATAGCTTTTATATTGTAAGTGTATTCTTATTAATTTGTCAAAGAGAAGAACTTGATGAAAGCAAATAAATAAATAAAACTTTCTCAAAGAAGTATAACAAATAGAAATAAGAAAGTATAAATATTAAAAAAAAAATTGAAATGGCTATTGCTAAAAGATAAGAAAATTAGAAACTTCTTAAAATTACACTAGAAGCAAGAAAAGAATTGACAAGAGTGAAGAAAGCTTCACTCTTGCTTTTATATATACTATCTACATAAGAGCTACGTGGCAATATTCTATAGGACCTCCAAAACATGTTGACTTTGCATGACATGTATCTTAACTTATAACATAAGTTTTTTATATGGACACTTTATAATTAGCTTGTTCCACAAGCTACCAACATATGTGGCATGTGATTAACTTGTTGTTCAAATTTCTAACCTACCAATCAACTACAAATACATGTAAAGTCAAAATAGCATCTATGAAGCTTTTAGGAAGTTTTCTTAGAAGATGTTGTAAAATTAATCTACTTTTATATACTTCTATCTATTCATATTACCTAAGTAACAATTACGATAAATATATGTTCGTGACAATTTAATGACTTGCAACAATAATGAATTAGAGTATAGGTTTTTATTAAGAGAGATATTTTTTACATTAGATAAATCTTATTTAGTTATAAAGAATTGTAGAGAATAAAATTAGTAAAAATTATCAATGATTTAATTAAAGAACAAAGAGACATTTAGAAAATTACCTTTAGACTTAAAGTGTTGTTATAATATAATATGTAATATCCTTTTAAAAAAAAATTCTATAAATTTGAAATCAAACTATTTTAGTACTTTTGATTTTGCAATCTTTGATGAACTAGAAGGTGATGAAAAATAATTTTATTGAAGATTGATTCTTATAAATGAAGAAGAATTTTTTAAAAAAAATATAGATTAACAAAGGATTTATTAAAAAGGTCAAAAGATTTGTATTATATAGAAGATAGAGAATTTGATGATTAGGAACCATCATCATATATGTGAAGTTTTGAATTTATAGAACTCATAAACTAATAATCATAAAAAAGGCATATAAATAAAAGTAGTTTTGATTTTAGTGTAGAATTAAAAAAAATAGAAATTATATATAATTTTTTTATCAAAGAAGTAAATATCTTAACAAGTCTAAGTTAATTCCACTTTATATTATTTTTCAATGAAGGCTAATGCAAATGAATTTTAATGCAATGAAGACTAATACAAATCAATGAAGGCCAATGCAAAATGCTAAATCAATAGTTTTATATTCATTTACAATGGTATATTTTAAGATTTTTGTAAAAAAGATCTATTTAAAAAATATAAGAAATATGAGATATTGAGAAGAATAAAAAGATATGAAAGACAAAACTTACTTTTAAATTGGAAAAAATTGATTGATTTTATCAAAGAGTGTTAAAACTTCAATCTTTTGTATTAATCTAAATTTTTTAAAAATATAAAAAAATTATAAAAAAAATTGATTAAATTGAAGAAAAAAATTATAGATAGAATTATATTGGCAAAAGCATCATATTTTGGTGCATCAAAAGACAAAAGTTATGAAAATACAAAATTATAATAAACATAAAAAGATTATTATTTCTACAATTTTTTTAACAAATAAGGTAAGAATATGTTAAAATGATTTAATTAATTTTATTTCTTTCAAAAAATAATAAATTTATGTACTGTAGTTATGGTTAAATGTCTTAATAGAAGTTTTAGTTTGAAGATTTGGATTAAAATAAAATATATGCTTTATATTTGTCTTTCTTTTTTATTTTATCTTTAATATTGATGCATAGTCTAAATTCAAATTATGAGTTGATATAATTTTAGAAGAATTATTTGGTAGAAAATAATAAAAGGTACAAATATTATATCTATATACAAAAAAAGTAAAGACATTAAGTCTTCTTAGAGTAGATCGAATAGACAAGACCACAATATCAAAGGCTATATTGAATAATGTGAAGCATATGTATAATGCTTCATGTTTTGTTGAATGTGTTAAAAATGGCAGTGATTTTTATAAAATCTCTTTCCACATTTTAGAACAATTTGAAATTCAAGCAAACAAAAAGGATTTAAAAGAAGTACAAGAAATGTTGAAATCATTCATGATCAAAACTAAAGTCATTATAGTCTTTACTAATAAGAAGAATTAAAGTCAAATTGAAGATGTTATATTTATAGATAACTCGTTTGCTATAAGTGAAAGCATACTAATTATGACAATTTAAGATTAAATGACTATGGAACATTGTACTATTGAAAAATGTAAAGTAAATATTGAAGGATTTCTTGAACAAAGAAATTTGACATTGTTTGACACTTATTCTTGTAGATACCAATAGAATTTGCCTCAGAAACTTAATGAAGTTGGCAAAAAGATTGTAAAAGCATGAAATTACCTACCATTGATCTTAAAAGTTATAGATGCAAATTTAAGAGTAAAAAACGAGGTTGAGTTATTAAGAACAAATTTTTTAAAGGTTAAAGACGAAAAGTGAGTTAGATGAAGATGAAAAAAATAGTAACCATAAGTTTTAAAATATGTTAAGAAAAGGTTTTGATAACTTAAGAGCTAAATATATATATATATATATATATATATATATATATATCTATATTGTAATGATGTGTATTTCTAAGGCATGTTGAAAGAAAGTGCATTACAAATATGGACCAATGTTGAAGAAAATATACTAGAAGGTGTTGTTGAATATATATTAAATACATTGATAAAAGTAGATAAAGATGGAATTATAAGAATGTATGATCCACTACAAAACTTTGATGGAAAGAATATTGAAACAAAAATATGAATGTGGAGCCATTGTATGGAATTTGTGAAAAGGTAATGTACATAATAATCATCCAAATAGAATATATAGAATTAATAATTTAGAAAAAAATTAAGATTTGGAAATTAAAGATATAACATACGTGTATCATTTATATATTGTTTATATGTAAGAAGTATATATTGATGCAAATTTATTTATTTATTTACTTCATTTGTATTGTTATAAAATTTATTAATATATTAGATTGATTTTTAATGCAAAGATTTTAAATTTTTGATACACTTGAATCATATTGTTTTATAAATGGAGGAATTATGTTACTAAAATATAAATAAGAATAAGTTTGGTAAAATGTAAAGTGGATGCTTTTTAAAACTTAGATTTTTAAATTATAACAATGGTGATCTTTTATGAAGAGATAAAAAATTAGACACATTTAAAAGTTGACAAGAAATTCACTTAATTTAAAATAAACATTTTTTAAAACTTATCTTACAAAGATAATATTTAAGAAGAAGTAATAGATAAAGCATGAGACATGCTATTTAAAAAAATGTTTAGAAGAAGTTTAAGACTTTAAATGTCTTACTATTGATGAATTGTAATTTCAAAAATTAAAATATAAATAATCATTTTAAATGAATATATTATTAAAAATTAATATAAAAAGAATGTTATAAGTTGATTTTATTGCCAAAAAAACTAAATTATTTAACATCATCAAAAAATCTTAATTTAAAATTTAATTATAAATTTTAAAAAAAATCTTAAATACATAAAATGTTTTATTTCTTTACAAGTTCTTACTGTATATAGATGCTACTATTTATCTTTAATACCCAATGAATTAAAGAACCTCAAATCTTTAACTACTTTAAATATGTCAAGGTGCTTAAAATTGATATTATTACCAAATGAATTGGGCAACCTCACATTTTTTATTATTTTTAAAATGGTATACTCAAGCTTGACATCACTGCCAAATAGATTGAACAATCTTACATCTTTGACTACACTTAATATATTGAGGTGTCTCGGCTTCACATCATTGCTAAATAAATTTGGCAACCTCATATCTTTAAATACCTTTAATATGTTCGGATGTTGAAACTTGACATCAATTCAAAATAAATTAGACAATTTGATCTCTTTGACAACCTTTGATATTAGTATTCTTTAAAACTGACATCTTTGCCAAATAAATAAGACAATCTTACAACTTTGACAACATTAAATATATATTAAAATACTTAAGGTTGATATTATTGCAAAATAAATTTAACAATCTCACATTTTTGTCTAATTTGAATATATCAAAGTTTTCTAGCTTAACATCATTGCTAAATAAATTAAACAACCTTACATCTTTGGCTACTTTTCTTATACTAAGGTATTAAAGCTTGACATATTTGTCAAATAAATTATACTACCTTAAATCTTTGACTAATTTAAATATGTCAAAATACTCAAACTTAACATTACTACCAAAAGTATTGAAAAAACTTACAACTTTGAGTATCTTTTGTATGTCTACATGCTCAAATTTAATATTATTGTCAAATAAATTTAATAATTTTACATTGTTGATTATCTTTGATATGTCAAGATGTTGTCAAGAACATAAATTACAAACAATCAAAAAGTCAATACACTCTTGTATTACTAGAAAAAAATAAATAATTACTTAAAAACAGTATGATATTGAAATTAGAATGGCTTTTGTCAAAAATAAAAAAAACAATACTAAAAATAGGGAAAAAGTCGATAAGAATGAGAAAGGCCTCACTTTCTGACTCCAAGTTAGAATTGAGTATCAAATACTTTTACAAGTGATCATCTGCATCCCACTATCTACTCTTCTACAACAATGATGTTCGCCAATATCTATGTGACTAATACAAAATGCCTCCTATGACAATGTTCAATGAACCGGTCTTGTCCGCTCAGTATGTAACAAACAAATTAAAGCCCCCATCTCCAACATGATCCTGAAAGACTCTAAAATGTTTCACTCAAATGGGCCTGTGACAAATGTGGAAAGGTGGTTTCCAATCTTGCCAGCTGGTCATTTCAAACTGCATCCTCTCAAAAGAAATAATCACAAAGAAAGAAGTTTGGACGTGGTACTCAGAAGCACCACATTGGTCCATGAGCAAGAGGATATGAAACCCAACTTGGAATGTATGTGAATATTTACCATCTTCTAGCAATACAGAATTTGAATTGTCCATTTCTTCTATGATACAAGGCACCCTTTACTGACCAGACAGAAGCTGATCCAGGGGAACCTGCATTCCTGATGGCATACGCTGTGGATGTATCTGCTGTCCCACATTTACCATAAGCTGACCAAGCCACCTCCTTGTTGTTAAATCATCCTGCACGCATCCAACCCGACATGTGTAAGCATTGAGAATTTCTAGACACTGAAAACGAGAGAAACACGAGTGCAAATGTCACTAACAATGCAAATTGCTAGAGGGTACTCAACAGGAGGTCAGTTGTTGTACCCGTAGGCAGTTGTTGAAGGTACCGTTTTGAAGCAGCTCAGGGAGACAATTCTTCAGGGCTTCACAAGCTCTAAAAGAAACAACCCACTATTGAAGTGAAACAAGATAATGGTAACAAGAATATGTGCATCCACAGGCTTCAACTTGGCCAAGATAATTTTCTACCTGCCGCATACAATGCTTCATACAGGAGAAAATTCCTTACATCCTGATCACAGCCAAAAAAGAAATACAAAAAAGAAAAACAAAAAAACAGAGCCCAAAAGTACCCACCTCAGATTATCAGAAAGTCGAAGATAGCATCGAATGATATGTTTGAGGAGGCGAACAGAAGGCTGTTCGGCCAGCATTTGGACCATATTTGCAAGAACTGCACTGACGGCGAAAAACCGTTCTGCAGTGGCGCATATGTAAGCGAGACCCACGTCGTCTAGAAGGATTTTCTGAACAATGAATGTCGCCACCTGCCAACAAATGCATCGTTCAGGTCAGGTCCAGTTTGGACGAAACTGCAAAACCGTACATCAACCGGATCCAATAACAAAGACAGACCTACCCATTTGTCTTTGCTCCTTGTAAAAACAATATAGTAATAAAGACACTTTGTACTAATGATGGTACAAAATTTAGAGCGAGAAATAATAAAAAGAACTTAACAATTCGTATCAACAAAACTAATCATAAATCTTCCAACCAATTTTCTACTATGTTTCGAACTTGTAACAATATTGAGGGAACATCCGTGGAGCAGGGTACTCACTGTCTTGGATAGTTCACTTCCCATCTCCATCGTTCGTAGGCACAGAGGAATAATCTCGGTTGACAGTAGGAAATTAATAACTTCAGTGTCATCCACCTGCAGATATACCAAGCTAACATGTATTTAAATCCAAAGGACCGACAAAAACCCACATTACAGGCTATGTAAGATGGGATATGTAGTTTCTAGAAGGTTATCTTTTCTAAAGACATCGATTATGTAACGTAACAACCAGAACAAGGGCTGATTGAGCACTACCGAGAATGAAACCTAATTGAAACTCACTCCATTACCAATAATAAATGTTTATGCAACCAAGGCCAATTTATATACTAAAATCTATAGAGGACTAATTGAGCAAGCTATAACGGAACACGCGCTATTAAATCATTTCAAAATGATTCGATGATGTAACATAACGACCAGAATTAACAACTGTTCAAAAACAAAAAATAAAAACATGCCCTCCACATTAAGCTCCCCCTCAGCTCCTGAACGACTGACATCACTGGAATTGACAAAAGCACCTTGACAAGGGCACCAATGACTCCCAGGCTCGTAAGTCGAAGATATTCAAACGGCCTCGTTTTGCTCACTGTGTTGAGAAACGGATAAAGATAAAGAGGAATATGCGCTGCAACCAAAAACAAAATTTAAAAACCAGGAATTGTAACCGAAATTGTAGGATTGTAGAAAGACCTGAAGTAGCACTACAAACTATCTACAAGACTTGCAGAATTTAAAATGATACAAAATGGCTAGAAAAGAGCATACATACCATTGAGGAAAAGAGCTCGAGTGTCCGGATGAGAGGCAACACACTGCACGCAAAAGTACCCGCAAACATTTGAATATTAAATACAGAGCTGTCAACTTCACAAATTTTTCAGAACAATCATATCAGCGAATAACAGGGACCCAACTCCGACGATGACTACAATATAATATTACACATCCAATCTCTAACCGATACTTTTGGAAGTTCAATACATGCTTAGTTATTTCACCTGGAGCAAAGCCAGAGCGTTGCAAACTCGATTCGAAGCTCCCGCAGTTAGTGTGGGAGGAGATAACATAGGATAGATAGATACGATTTCCTGCACATTACACAAAAGCACAATGAGGGTCACGAACGTTAAACCCTCCTGTACTACAAGAACGTTGATATATCCAATGACTTGAAATGTTTAAGTAAAGGCATAACAAAGACGACAGCAAAAAGTAACTCGCTCTGAACTAACTAAGGCTTCCAGATATTTACACAAGGAAAGTGTATCTTACTTTCACCTGAAATCGGTGGATAGTAATAGTTGCTTAACACATACAACTAGGCAACTCTTCAGAGACATGAAAACCTAATCCCAACGTGGTACAAAAGCCCTGCAGACCTTTCCAACTAGTACACTGCCCTTCAAGCTTGGAAACGTCTGAAGTAAAAGGGGAGACCAGGAAGATAGAAGAGACCTGTAGAAGAGCTGCAATAGTGCCGCAAGAATGCCAAAGGATTGGAGCTAAGTCTGGAAAAGCTTCTCTTTTCTGCAATTTGACAACTCCCATGTCAGAAATTGGACAAAAACAACAACGATAATTCAACAGCGTCCCCGAACATCAACATCAACAACGCCCACACGGTCCCGGGAATCGGTCGCTAAAGCATAGAGCAGATTCTAAAAGGTTACTCACCACTCTATTTCAATAGTGCATCCAGAACATCATCGTTCCAAACATTGTAAACTATAAACTACTTGTCAAAAAGTTGACTTTTTCACCAAGCACACTAAACACCTTCAGAGAATTGAGGCAAAACACCATTCTTTCACAAACTTTAGGCCAAGCAATTCCTCTAAAAGAATGCTCCAGTCATCAATGAAGACATGAAAAAAGCATGATCGCATGGACAAAACCACGCCTTTGACAAGAATACACTCTTTGCAACAACTGACTCCTTTAAATAAGGGTACCCTTTGCTTGAAAAAAACCTACACGAGAAGCATTGTCACTCTCGATTACTTCTCCACAAACCATTCTAGATTTTGCCCTAATTCTGTAACGCCCAATACCTTGGAAAGGTCAAGAAGCGCATTTTCCCGCTGCTCCGGCACGATGAGCTCCAAAACCAACTGCTCCGCACTCGCCATCGTGTTCAATTCGCTCGATCAAACTCGATTCGAGAGTCTCCTACTACGTCCACAAAAGCTAAACAAGGCTATTTCACGACAACGCGCCACTCACTCTCACACACCCTAATAGAAACCCAGCCAACTCAAATTGACGCGGCACAAGAAATATATCGCTGGCACGGTACTTTTCGCCTCTAGACATCGGTCATCGAACCCTAAACACAACCTACTACAACAACAACAGCTCTGCCTCGAAAACTGCCACGAAGAACACCAAACTCGCCGAGGCGCTCTGCCGACATGCTCTCGGCACCCACCCCCCCTCGAGAGAAGGCTTTTCTGATTCGGATCTAAATGGAGGATGAAAAGTGGTTTTAGATGAACTTCGTACATCCATCCATCCCGAGGTTTTGCTGAGCTGGAACTTGGGTGCCGGATTGCCATGTACACGTGGAAAGCCCGCCATGTCATCTAAAATGTTACATCTTCATTCATTCATTATTTTATTTTTAATATATATAAATATTCTAATCTTGGAAGACGTTTAGACTTAGAAGCCATGGTTCAAAAGTCTTTTGAAGATTAGTGATGAGAAGTTGTTATTTGAAGGTTTAAGCCTTTAGAGATTGTGTGAAGTGAAAAGAGACAATCTGATAAACTAATTTTTTTTTTAAATATAAATTAAAATGTGACAACTTGTATCTTGATTATGTCAATTATATATATATATATATATATATATATATGGAAAGAATATATTATAAAAATAAATTAGAATAGATATTTTTAACCAACTTTTCAACTTTCTCAAACCTTATCTCTTCATGTGGACCTAATATAAGTTCTTTGAGACAATGCTATTTATGGTATATATGAAACAAGTGCGTTTCATCTTACATTTTTCTCTTATGGCCTAAAGGTTAATTTTTATAAATACCAAGCCAATTAAAGAAAGTTTTTTCTTAATTTCAACAACCATAAGCTTTGAAAGTTGTGACTTGTTGCCTTTTCTACTAAGCATAAAGGACCCTCTTATTTTATTTTTATTTTTATTCTTTTATGTAATGGTATTTAATATATAGACATGGAATATCATAGGTGGATTATCTAATTGGATCACTCCGATGTAAAATGTTGTCTATTTTTTTCTCTCTTTTATTTATTTATATTCTTATTCTGAAATATTTACTTATCCAATTTATTTATTAAAACTATTCAATGCTGCAAGTATATGTTTAAAACCTTATGATACAAAATAAATCGGATAAACAAAGGTTTATAATGGTATTTTTTTAATAATAAATCTAAATACATGCTTTAAGATAATACAAATTGTTAGATTTTTAGAATATGATACTTTTCTATTTTTTATTATTTTGAGGATAAAAAATAAAAAACTGATATTAAAGTTGTTAATAACTCTAGTTATCATACTTTGCTTCTTTTTAATACTTTTTTAATTGTGCATGTCTTCAAAATATTAATAATCATTATACTAGTTTAGATTATAAATGCATTAACTTACTTGATAATCTTTGTGACACTACCAACCTTGGCAATGTAATTAAATAGTTTTATTTTATGTATTTAAAATAATTCTAACAAATATATTAAATAAAATATAATTTGTGTAAAATTATAAGCACAAGCCAACACAAGAGGTTATTTTATTGATATGTAGCTTGTATATTATAATTTAATAACCAAGTAACATTACCAATATAGTATTTTTAACAACAAGTTACTTTTGCATCATATACATCTTTTGACTTTGGTTGACTACATTGTGTTGCATCTAATAATAATTCTTTAATTTGTATTACAATTAAATAATATATGTTTCTATTTGTCTTATTAGAAAATTAATACATTTTTTTTTTTTTTTTGTATTTTAATAGAAGATGTCAATGATTCAAATAAGATTATTTAGAAACCTTCTACATTCTATTATAAGACAAATTTCTATGGATGTGAATAAATTTCTATAAAGGTCAATAAATTTCAATTCAATCTATGTTATAATTTTTTATTCTAACTAAGAAAATTATTAGCATATTAATTCTCCAAAGGTTGTTTAGAATATATATAACACTAATTTAGAATAATTACAAAATACTTAATAATATGTAGGTAAAACAAAATAGATGTAATTTTTAATACTTAAAAAACAAACAATCACAACTATAGTCATAAGAATGTGTATATTGTTATAAGTTCAATTCGACTTAATGTTTTTTTAAATACACAATGTTGTATTAATATAATTTTTTAAATGATAATATTTATATTTATATATAGTAATATCAAGTTTATTTGGATCTATACTTATTTAACTAATCAAACCTTATTCAATCAGAACTTAATTTTATCATAACTTTATAAGTTGAATGGATCCATCTTCTAACCAAACAATCTATTGTTCTAAACTTTTAGTAGTTTTTATACTTATGTTATGTAAAATGATTTGTAAGAAAATAAAGAAGATAGTATGATTTCTTTTGATAATTAATTTTTAAGCATTTCAGAAAATACATAATCTAAGCATTAACATCTACTATATTTATATACAATCATCCATAGTTGAAATGAGCTTGTAAAATTAATAAAGTTGCATTGATAATAATTCAAAGATACAAATTTTTCTTCAAAATATATATATATATATATATATATATATTGCAAGTATTTAGCTTGCTTATTTTTTATTGAAATAGAGAAGATGAATACTTGTAGAGGTTTAACTGTTCAAGGAATATAAGAGATGTATATATATATATATATATATATATATAGATATATGTAGTTGTAAATTATATCTAAAAAAGATGTATTGAGGATGACTTTTTGTAATAGAAAATCATCTATTTTAAAGAATTGAGCAACTTTGTAAAGTCACTTGGCTTTTCTAATTGCTTTTTGTTTTTTTTATTAAGCAAATGAAAATCAATTTGTATAAACATAATTTGTGTCAAAATGAAAAAAATCATAAATTTTTGTGTTAAAAGAAGAAGATATTACAATATCACTAATTGAAGCAAAAAATGAATTCAAAAGACTTTTAAGTCAAAACATCCACATATACTACAAAATTGCAATGTATAGCTTATGCTTTTTCTTCTAAAGATTCAAATAAGTCAATCAAATAATTATATCCTTGTCCACATGTCAGTCAATAGACCATCTATTGCATATGACATTTTTTTACAAAATACTTCATATGAGCTTGTTAGGTGTTTTTTCAAAGAAAAAAGTAATTATATTGAAAGCATCACTTGAATTTCACTAGTATTTATTTATTTTTAGTAATATATTCATTTATTTATTTTTAGTAATATATTCATTTATTTATTTGTTTTTTCACAGAAGTAGAGTGTTCTCAAGACATTAATGAAAGATTCCACTTGTATTTGAAATACCCAAAGTCTAGTTGACTTTGGAGAATGTCAAATATAATCAAAGACATCAATTTCAAGTATACAACATTGTGGTTGTCAAATGCTGAAGAATAGACATGCACCAAAGTAAAAATAAAAAATTGAAATAAGAGAAAAAAAAAAATTCTTTATTTATCTTCATTTATCATGAAATACTTCATTGCCATTTTGTTTGAAATTTTCTAAAATGAAATATTCTCAATCTTTAAATTCAGAAAAGAAATAGAAAAAAAATGTACAAAGGAAGTACAGTAGAGGCTTAATACTCACACACTGCCTTGAGTATATTTACAGAAATATTCAAATTTTACAAAAAAATAAAATAAAAGGGAATTTTGATACAGGGTAGAATTGTACTAAAAGCACTTCCAAGATGTATCAGATCTGAATTCTCTAAACTGTGAAAGGTAGAGCTTTACACGCAAGGTATTGTAGAAAAATAATAGAAAATTTCGTTTTTTGGGAAATTCCCTAACAGTAATCAAAAATATTTCATATTGATTTTTTACCAAAATTGAAAAACTGGTACGTTTTGTTTCTACACATAGCTAGCACCAGTATGCATTTCATAATTGACAATGAATCCTTGTAGTTTGATTGAGCACTGTGTAATATGACATCTACCATGCAGTTGTTTCCATTTTCAGTCTCATGATCTGATAAGTAAATGTATCTCCGACCTGTTTTCAAGCAGGAATTATTGGATCTTATGAACATATTTGTATTTCTGACTTTGATGCAATACTGGTAATCTGATTTGGAACCTAATTTTCCAACCATGTCTGATTTCACTTGTTCGTAATCTTAACCACAAACTTGGGTTTTAGACAACCAGATGGCAAGCGACTTGTACCTGACTTGAAAAGTGTCAGAGTAAGGATCGTCAAACGTTGCAAAATTGAATGCTGTTGCAAAACAGAAAGCAATATGTAAAAATATGTTCCATACTCTTCCTCTAATTTGTGATTCCTTGACCTGTTTCAAATCCATGGCAGAATACTTTGCATAAGGGCCAACAAAACATGTCAATAGCTTTGACAGTATTAGGAAAGGAAAATATCGTCCACATTTGCACAGTTCTAACAAGTTTGCACCTGTCTGAAGAAATAGTGAAAGTGCGCTGAAAAGCACTGTCGCATATAAGAAATTCTTTCTCTCATACAGTGATATTTCCAACACGCTGCCTAGAGACAATACAAACAGGGCAATTTGAAGCAACATTTTACTATGTACTTCTGCTCCAAATTATATAGAAGTAGAAGAAGCCTCAGGATAAAGCCATTGATGTGCCTCACAAAGAATACCTCAGAATGTCCGTCTAAGTCTTATCAACAAGTATTTGCCTGATCTCATCCTCTCATGATCACTGAATTCCTTCAAAAACTGTTTTTGAGAAAATTTTAAGTACCAAATGAAACAAAAAAACCCAAATCACACCAGGATATGGTCATTTAGAAGCACACAACAGATCCCTCAAGCTCAACTTCAGATGTCTCCCAATATCTGCCAACTTTTCAGTATAATCCACGCTTATACATTATGAGATCTCATGAAACCAGTGCAGATCATCTAGAAGTGAAGAGCTTCTATTTGAATGAGTTGTAAAACATTCTATTCAGCTCTTCAAACACGGCATTGTGGTGAAGCATCATCCTGTCTGGATCATCCAGTTTGTAACATCCGATGAGGGTTTTAGAAGGTATCAATTAGTCTGCACAATTGTCTGTGCAATTGTCTGTACAAATTGCAAATCTCTAGAGAGTTTTGTAGGATATCCGGGAGTTCAATTATATGCATGATCTGATCTGCTGTAGTCCACACTGTTGTGAAAATGCCAACTTTTTGAATGTTGCTTCCATATGTCACGTGACTTAGATGTAACTCAACATTGTAGAAAAGCAGTATGTAAAGAACCTACCAACTCATGAAAATATTAGTACTAACACAGTTTTTTTCTTTTTTCTTTTTTAAACGCCTTTTGACCAGTTTCCTGATCTAGCTTGCAATCTGCATTTAAAGAATTTTGCAATAGCAGCATTGTGATTCTCGGGTATCCCACAAGACTCTCTTGGAAATTATACATTTTACAGACAATTGTACTCAAGCATTATCTGGCAAAGATGCAGTGATAGACTGCATTGCAAGGAACCATTTAAAAAAATTCAACGAAGAACAACATTATTTGTACAAAGTACATCAATAATAGCAGTAAGGTAGTTTACCCATTTCCCATAAAATTAACATTTCAGCATATATGCAATAAGTGTGAAAATGAAAAACATATATTCATGTGCAGAGAAATAGAAATTAGGGAGATTCCATGTGTTGACACACAATTTGGTCCAAAAATAGAATTTATAGAAATGTTTTAGCTAATTTTTTTTTTTTTTTTTTTTTTTTTAAAACCCAAACCCAACATATAAGCTAATGTAATTCCAACTAGTCGTGGATTACAAAATCAAGAATCTTTGTTTTATAAAATTGAGAAGTATGGCACCTAATTATGCTATCAAGCTTCACCTAATTGTGTGCTAGCAATAGATGTTAATGTGCGGATGAGGCAAACATCTAGTTGTAAGTAATCTACTATTTTTGAGTAGAATTTTTGCCACCATTCTTCTTTGTTTTTGCTCATCTCCAAATCCTATCTCATGCATCATCCGTCTTTTGGCTCCACTCCAATGGCTCCTTTAAGATCTCTTTCAACTATTGGATTACATAGGCCATGAGTATGGTATCAAAATAAGTTGCAATCAAGCTGTGAAGGTGCACTCTCTTGATTACCAAATGCCACCTCAAATACTCACAAATTTAGCTTACAATTACCAAAATTGGTCATGCACCTTGCCTTGCAAACAAGATGTGAAAGTGGACGTTATTTTATTTCCAACCACAATTTTTTGAATTTTTTTGTATTGTCCATGAAAATTTAAAGATTACATCCATGGTTCTCAACCACAATAAGAGTAAAAAATAATCAACTACCAATGTATAATCAGCTATTTCATATGTGCAATTCTACTAATGTACAATTAAATTTTGATAGTTCACACATATCCATTTTGAATATAGTGAGTTTTATATATTACTTAGAGCTAACCATCATTTTAACCAGATTCCAACCTATTTCTAATGATGAGATGTTAGAATTAGTTATTAAAGATACTTTGAGTGAAAAAAAAAAAAAAAAAAAAAAAAAAACCCTTAGAATAGAATATTTACTGTATAATTGTGGTTGTATTTTACTATTTTATTATTTAGTTATTTAAATATATCATTTTATAGTTGATAATTCAAATTAATTTTAATTATTTAAAAAATTATTATTAAAATTTTGAAACAATATTCTTAATTTTTAAAATTTTCAGAATTATTTTGAAGATCTTTTGCATATGAGAATAAAAAAAAAAACATTTAACCTTAATGCCATGTTTTATAAGCTATTTCTTAATAATTGAATATAAATTTGAAACTTAACAAAAAAAAATCCTAATTATTAATGAGCATTTACAGTAATATTTTAATTGAAATGAACTGTACAAATAACTTGAGACGTCATTTCATATTTTTAAACTTAAAATTTAAATAAATTTTATTTGTATTTTTTTAAAGAATCTAAGTGTTATTTCTTGTTCTAAAACAACTAAAAATTAAAAATTTAAGAGTTGGTATTTATTAGATAAATATTGAGAGAGATATTTTTCAGAAAATTTTAAAAAAAAATTCTATTCATAATTTTCTAAATTTAGAATTAAATAAAAAAATATTTACATGCTAATGGAATGGTTTATTATATACTAATAAATGGAATAAAATTTCATTTTCTAATATATTAATAAAAAAAGATGTTACACTATGATCATTGATATAAAATAAATTTATAAAAGTAGAATTCACTCGAATTAAAGTATAAATTTTGCAATACATGAAAGTAAATTTTATTTTCACAACGTGAAAAATCAATTGTTATGTAATAAGAATATTCAAATTAACTAATTTACAACTTAGGTATGTTTATTTTATTTTCAGTATAAGAAAATAATGAACAGATACTGAATCACTGTGTCTGTGTATGCAATTCTGGCTTTCTAACACCTCAATTTATTATCATATTTAAACGGAAACATTCTGGTTATGGTCAAATTCATTTACAAAACATTCATAACAATTTAACATACAAGGTTCTTTCGTTTACAATGTTATAATGGATGTTACATTGGCTTACAATGTTATACTGCATAAATGCACATGCTGCATGAGTAACTAATTAATTAAGTACATTATACATGTATTAATGCACAGTTTCAATCCATGATAGCCGCCTAATAATTGATCGTCTTTGAAATCAAGAAAAAGTTATGTAATTGAATAGCATTATGTAATTCATTTTAATTCAAATTTCATTGACACAATATGAGACACACTGAAGTGTGTGGAATTGATATGCATTTTTTAAAGAATAGGTTGAATTATGTGAGAGGAATATGTGGTTTGAATGGCTTGTGCACCAAATTAACATGGGAGCACTTGCAGCCATCTTGCCTTCAAAACAACTATCAAACTTGAATGACCATTGTCTTCAAAACATTGGTTTAATAAACAATTCTGTAAATGTTTTATTTTATCTTTCTAGATGTCATTTCAAAAAGTTATAAAATTCAAGTGAAATTATCTTCTGACTTCACCGTCAACATGTTGCAATTTTGAATTTTAAATAAATATCACATCACCGGGTCTAAATTTTCCTTCTTAGAATACTGTAAAAGAGGATTATTACAACGTATTATTATTTATTTATTTTTAATTTTTGATACACCTTCAATCACAAAAAGATTTGTGTTGATCTTTAATAGTTCCAAATTCTAATGTAGGGTGCAAAAAATTCACCAAAAAGATGGAAAGTTGAATTGAGCGTGTCTTATTCACATCTCCTTCCATGTAGACAAACTTCAGAAATTTTTCTTAAAGAATTATTTTCTTCACCCACATGTACAATATGGAAGTCTTATTTATATAATGATTCCTACAAAGTGTTGAATTGCTATGTAGGACTTAAAGGGCTTAAAAATGCATTGTTATTGTCATTAGAGAAGGATGTAAATGGTGGACTTGTTCCACAAATATTTGAGCAATGAAATTTTGTCCGCCATATTGCCAAATGTTTTTTGCAATCTTTACGAGGGTTTAAACGATCCGGAGTAGGCAATAATAATAATACAATGTCTTGTGAATCAAAGCCACCTTTGATACTACACGAGACTTCCAAAGTTGAGTTGTGGGCACAACAAGAAAATAATAACACCAATAAACTCTATTCAAAAGAAAACCAAGACTCTTTAAACTTGAATGGAACATTTAAACCTAGCAAAAGCATTGAAGGATTAGTGAATGATAGTCAATCAAATTCTCCTATGAATTGTGAAAAAACTTTACTTGTGCATTTGCATGAAAAGGATGGAAGAAGTTGGCCACCGGGAAAAAAAAATATTAGGTCAATGAAGATCGATGTGGTATTGATTGGAAAAAAATATAGAACCATCTTGGAAGAGACGAAAAACCTCTATGTCGATGCTTCCAATCACATTCAACAAGATGTAGTGCCCGTGCAAAGTCAAGTTAGCAATTCATTCCATAAAGATGGACATTGTAAAAATTTGGTTGTTCTTGCCAGTCATGCACAAGCAAGCAACAAAGATGATTTCTCTAAAAGTGTAGCATGTTTTGAAGAAGAAGATGTTTTTGGGGACGTGCTTCACGGAAACATGAATAAAAATTACATGAGACAAGATCATTATCGAGAAATAAAAAAACATGAAGATGACAATAGTATTTGTAATTTGAATAAAAGAGGTGGAAATGCTCTAGGACATATCCTACAAGATGAAATGCCTACAAGCACACCATCAAAAATTCAGGTATATGTGATATCACAAAAAATAAATTATGCTATAAATGAATATCATGATTTTTTTTAATATATTTGGATATCTTAGTAAATTTTTTTAAAAATAAACTAATGTGATGACTGTATAAAGATAAAAATTGCATCAAATCCTACCAAATTAGATGAGTATGTAGGCACACATACTTAATAATATTAAAATAAAAAAGAAATAAGAAAAAACTACAAGAACAACAACTGCTGAATTTTGATAGTGTAACAAAAAAGATATCGATGGGGAATATTGGGGCAAAGCAAATTGGTGTGAAATTGATAGCTACATGACTAGCCATGGAAAAGAAACAACATGGACGGTGCGAGGGTTTGAAGATGACAATGGGATTTTTGAAGAGAGTGTTCTTGACTACAAAAATGCCTACATATCAAAACAATTTGCAAATACAAATAACCCATCATGCAAAGAAAGTAATTTACTTGTTACCAACACTCACATTGAAGGACCCAATGTTGAAACTTTACATGGATTGCCTCCAAAATGGACCCAACAAGCATTGGAAGTGCAAGTTGCTAAGAACTTACAAGATCAACACAAAGAATTTAGGTCATCAAAAAAAAGATTGAAGATGGTTAGAACCATTTGTAAAAAAATAGGGAAGGGTAATGGTGGGTCAAAAGAAAACAATAGACTCCAATCTAAATCCCATGATCTACTGCATGATGATCTATTGTCTATCCATGACATGTTCTATTACAGGTAAAAAAGAATGACAAAATTAATTCACTGAAGTTCCTTTGATATATGTTTATATATATATATATATATATATATATGTATTTTTTTTTTTCATTCAATTTTTTTTTTAAATGAACAAGTATGTTGAATATGTAAAAGTTATGGTAAAGATCAACTAATTACAATGGAACCATAACAAAATATGTAGGAAGCAAAGAAAGTTGTTGAAATATGCTACTCTTTTAGATTCACATAAAAGAAACAAAGATGAAAAAATTGAGGAAAATAACGTCCAATTTATTTGCATCAGTGCTAATTGGAAGAAAGTGCAAAAATCTTCTCAAGCATGCATTCGTTCAAGTATTCATATAAACAAACTTGAAAAAGGTTAGATACGCATATTAGACGCAAATGTTTAGCCTTTGTTCAAGTATATTTCATGTCACCTATTTGTGTATATATACATAGAATTAAAAATCCAAAAATGTTGCCAGAAAAAACATTAATGTGTATTTATTTATTTTTATAAATGTTTTAAAAAACTTCTGACATGTTTGGTGTAGAACCACCAAGTTTGGTACCACTTTGTAAAATACAATGGTGTAATAGAAGATGGATTTCAAAGAAAAATAAACCATTAAGACAAGCAACATTGTATTGTATTTCATTGATTGATAACAGTACAAAGATTTTACACACAGCCCGCAAGGATACAGCCACAATGACCGAGATGCTTGATGACCATGAAGCAAAAAAAAACAGAGATATGGATTCAAAAGCAATTGAAATGTATGTGCATTTGAAAACATTTCAGTCAGAAGTTCAGGTGATCTCTTTAAGAAAACAAATTCATGATCAATTCTTAATAGCTTCTTAAATTATACATATATATATATATATATATATATATATATTTGTTTCAATTTTAATTCAAAACTAACTATTCCAAGTTTCATGTGCAAATGTAGCAACTTCAAACCTTGAGGAAGTTCAATGTGCAAGTGATATTTCCTTGGCAACAAATCCTAAAAAACATTTTCATGGGTATTAGTCTAGTGTTGGGGACACTTAATCTGCATCTCTCTATCAAAAGTCTTTTTTGGCTCATATTTGGTATAATATCATTGTTTCTTTAATGAGTTTTTTACTATTTTTCTATTAATTTTGTGATGATTAATGAAGATAAAAAAACAAATATATATATATATATATATATATATATATAACTTTGTTTCATTTATAATTTATTTTTAACATTGAAATTATTGATGTGTTATCTAAAAATGAACTTATTTAAAATTTCATTCACAAGCTTGCTTATTTCGGCAGGGCAATCAAGATATTTGCAAACAGCATCCTCCAGGAAAGGAAAAACCATGGCTGCAATGGTTATTATGTTTAGTGGTAGTTATATTAGTAAAGAAATGTGGCAAATATATGTAAGTTTTCTCTAAAGTATTTTTATAACTCTTTTAAAAATTGCATAAGATCCCTTTTGATCTCAGAAATTTAGTTTTTCTCCACATAGTGAGAGCTAATTAAATATTAGTTTTTCTTTAAGGAGAGTATATTTTGACTGGGTTGGTATAATCTTTTTGGTGTTTGAATAATGAATTATTCTGCTTAATATATTTAACATATAATTATAAAATAAATCTCTTTTGGTTATTTCTCACAACCTACTTATTGTAAGCTTGAGAATCAAAATTGGTTGCAGAATCATGTGCAAACAATGAAAAACTTACATGAAAGTCTTTATCAAAAGAAATTGTGTGACATACTTGAAAGAATAGCTTACTTGTTTGCATTAATTCGCAAAAAAGGTCCCCTTTTTGAAGTTCAAAATTAAAGAATGAGAATAAAAAAGAAGTTATTGGTAGATGATTTTTTCTAAGAAATATCTCTTAATTGAAAGTATGTTTTTCTAATCTTGAAATCCTCAAAAAATAATAATAATAACATTTTTTTAGCAACTTCACAACTATTTATTTGAAAAGGTGTGGATATTGTTTTGTAAAGTTGATAGATTATAATAATAATTATAATTATCATTTAATTATGAATATAAAATGTGAAATAATTATACATCGTTTTTTATTTTTTTAATTAAATAAAAAAAACTGTTGTTTGTAGGTTGAAATGTGTTATATTAATTCAATTCTATTTCACTGGAACTTTTTTGTACTTTAAAAAATTGAAACTCGAGTTAGGGTGTGTAATCATGATTAGTTACATGCTCAGAAATCAATTTAAAATTTATTACATCATTAAAATGTTCATGCGATGTTCACACGTGAATTATGCACAACTGTGTCATACAATATGCTACTCGTATGTTTGCGGTTGCTAATAATTGAGTATCAAAGAATTTAATCATATTTCCAGAATAATTTGTAATTTCCGACATAAAAGATTATATTGTTCTAGAGATAAATATGTGATTAATCTTGTTATTGTGCCTGATGTATTTGGAAAAAGTTTCAACTCCATTTTTACCTTCTAGAATAACTTGAATACTCTTTTTACAGTTATTTCTGAAAAAAGAGGTAAGAAACAATTGACTTTATAAGTGACCTTATGCCGCTTTCTAATGCTTCCATCAAATTCAAGTCTTTCTATGTTAGATATTAAATATTCTAAATAAAAATAATAAATTTTTATTAGTATACTTCAATCATTTTAGAAAACATACATTTACAAAGGATGTCCGAAATAACTTGCTCAGTATATTAATTTCAAAATTTCCTATGTACATATTGTTTGATGGTGTTACTGTCTTGGTAGTCCAAGGCAACCAACTACAATGTTGATTATAAACTTGTTTGTCAACTTCAACCGTTGATTTAACTCTCTTCTTTTTAATTTGTCCATATTTTAATAGGATTATTTTCCAAAAAGATTATTGTGTTTGTAAATCTAAACTTTGATCCAATCAACTTGAATAATCTTTCACTAGCCAAACATTTTTGAACGATTGTATTAATACCGTATTGCAAACAGAGTGTCGCAATTTCAGCCCAGTGTTTAACTATTGGAGTATATTTAATCATAGATTTATAATTTGTAATATGGAGTATCTGATCTTTATTTTTTATTTATTTTATTTTTCATTTCCTAAATTTCATCATTATCAAATCCTCTTAAGAAAACAAAATACACGACTCGTAGACGCAATCTGAGACTGAAATGTAAAAGTAGCGGCAGATCATAATGTATTTCGGAGCAAAAAAATAAAACAATTCCTATCTGTTAACAAACTGCACCTAGACTCATTTAATGCCATTCGACAATTTTGTTATCAAATCAGACTGGCAGATCAATAGAAGTTGAAATCACTAACCGTCAAAAAAATCATACTTCCACATCCCACTCCATAGTGTGTATTAAAACAACATAAACAATCTAATATAATCATAAATAGGGAAATGGAACATAGTTGGGCCATGATCAATAGGCAAAATAAAAAAAACACATAAGATTATACCACTCACATTACAACTACATCTCAAGACTACAGTCTAAGATGATGGTAGAGATCTAAGGTATCATAGATTTCGAACAAACCAGTGCAATTTGGCAACGAAAGAGCCCATGAATAGTTAATTTTGCTAGGTTAAATATTCGAAGCATCGATGATTTAGAATTCTCAACCTGTGACCACCTAAACAAACGGACCAACAGCATAAGTGTAGTATTCAACCATGTGGGAGCTTCCTTTGATCTCAAATGCATAATTTTCGATATATAAGTCGCTCGCTATAATCCAACAAAGCTTTGAAGAACACATTGAATATAACACCAACTATATGACGAAGATAGTACCAAACCATAAACATGAAGGTATCGAACCCAGCAAACAAATAAGGTCCGGTTGAACATCAACACACACGCTCAGGTCGGAGATAAATTGCCCGCGATCAAAGCAGGCACTGCAGAGTAAGGATGTGACGCACAGCCAGCGGATTGCAGACCTCCGTCATTCAAAACCATGTCAGACGGGGACCCCAATCCGTGTCACGGCCCTCACAAGTGGAGGTAGGTAATGTCCGCGATGTCGGTGAGGTAGGCGCTGCAGGCAAGAGGCCAAGGTCGGCGCAAAACAGCACCCTCACTGGATACAGTACTGCTTTGCCTTGTAAGGCATTGGTGGCAAGAGTAACCAACGCGTAAAAGCAAACCCGTCTTGGGCATGACACTTGGTGCAATGTGGAGCAGGTACAGAGCGTGATTGAGGGCTGCCAGGGTGACACAGACTTGGCCAGGGATGACGCATGTTACGGTGAGGTGACGGTCGCGAGCGATGGTGGTTCGTCGACTACCTCCACGGGCACGGAGGTAACGACTGCAGCGACCGACGCGAGGATGCCATGACCCAAAAGAGATGCACGCGAGGAAATTGATCAGAGTCGCGAACCCAGGCAGCGGAATGGCGAGGCAGAGAGTGCTGCCGTGGATGAGGCTGGTCTGGTGACGGAGTCCAGTCCAGATGAGCTCGGTCTAAGCGAGCACGGCAGAATCGAGTTGTCCATGGTGTGATGCGGACCTCGGCACTGCTCCCGGAAGAGCCGCAGAACTAGTCGAGGCAGCCACGACACTCGGACCTGACATAAGACGCAAATCCCAAGCTACCATGCGCCGCGGGTTCACGGGATGGGTCGCAGAGTCGTCCAGCAACGGGGCCACGGCCGCCACGCTGAGTGACTGCGTGACAAAATCCAGGACACTACCGGATTCGGAAGTGGAAACACCCGCATCACGTGGTGTGACCGAGGCGGAATACGAGAGGATATGAGAGTTCAGCACGGCGGGCTGGAGCGGAGGAGGAAGCGAGAGGTAGTTGCCTGAGACATGAGCAAAGTAGGTGTGCACAGGTGGGGTGGATGCCGCTTTCCGGGCGTCGTGGAGGGGAACTTCCCCCAGGCAGTGCAGATGGGAGGGACAAAGTGGGAACAAAGTTGATGGGTTGGTTGCGCCGCTGCAGCGGGGTGCGGTTGCGATGGGGTTGAATGTGGGTGCAGTGCAGGAGGGGAGCGGGTGCGCACTGGCGTCGGGAGTGAGGGCGGGTGAGCGGGCGTGGATGTGGGTGTGGATGTTCGTTCGAGGGCGAACCGACGCTGCGGTGGTGAGGCCCCGGGTGGGGGGCCGGGCAGGAAGGGTCTGCCGCGAGCATCGATGCGGTGGCGGGCAATGGATAGTATACCCACCACCGTGGCAGGCGTTTGTAGTCCAACGGTTAGGATAATTGCCTTCCAAGCAATGGACCCGGGTTCGACTCCCGGCAAACGCAGCCGTTCGTTCGGATATTTTCTGTACTTAGATTTATTTTTGCCCCAACATTAGATTTGTTTTTGCCCCAACAAACCCCGGCAGCCAAAAGAAAGCACACACACAACAAAAGGTTTCGAAGCTCTAATCAACTTAGCCTAAATCCACACCACACTTAAAAAGTAAAAAGTTATAATTTTATGCTTTTTGTTCTATTGGCAAGCTTTTCATCCTTGGTGGGACCTTGTAGTTGTTTTTGCTGGGTATTGCTTGTTCAAAGGCTTTGTGAATGTCAACTATGCCAGCCATCTCCTTTGGTTGGTATCATTGTAAATTCACTTCTATTTCTATAGAGATTCATTCTGTATATGTATCATTCAATAACTTCCAATCTAACCATCTAATTAGGTTCAAAATTCTCTACAAGTTAACTTATATCTTTGACTACTTCTACACAAAAATCCAACCATAAATCCATTATAAGTCTTTGGATATTGCCTAATCTCTAGCAGGTGCTAAACATGTCAATTTTTAAGCATCCATACACTAATTCCTTTATATATCAAAAATCTAATATTCAAATACTATGAATTTTTTATATGCAACTTTTTAATATAGTCATTTACATTTGTGGGAATTTTGAACTAAAAATTCATCCAAAAATCAAAACCTCCATTAAAAACAACTCATTTACAAACTTCAATTTTGAACACTAATTTCCAACAACTCTTTTTTCCTTTGTTCTAGACTAAAACATATTGATGTTTTAACATAAAGTGTACTTCTTTAAGTTAGCTTTCAAACCTCACTTTCCGATTCCTCAAAGCTTTTCTACAACTCTCTATATGCTCAAAAGAGTAGCAATAGGTACCCAAAATCACACCCTAACTTCAAACAACCATAACGCTTTTCTTAAAACTCCAAATCATCTATTTCTTTTACTTAAATTTTAGTCTAAAACACAATTTTTTTGAATCCAACCTCCATACTTTGAATGAGTCGCCTTACCCAAAATGGTCTGCCTTGCCTTGAATGGGTCGCCCTAAAGTAGTTCCAGATACTAGTGTGGTCCCAATTAATATCTCGAAGCCTATTGGGCATGACTTCCAACTAATAGAAATGAAGTCCTCTGTTATTTATCTTATCTACTTACATGGGATAGTCTACAAGTTAAAATATTATACTTTTGATTCCAAAGCCTTCATAAACTTCTTTCTAATAAATCCTACAACTTTTTATCTTTAATTATAAAACTTAAACTACAAACTTATATAAATTAGATAAATATTTTATTATATTTATTTTCTATTTTAATTTTAATTCTATTTTGGTTTTTAATTATATTCCAAACTTTCATAATATTTCATATTATTTTTATATATTTTTTTTATTTTTCAATACAACACCATGAATGTAGAATATTTCTACAATGGGACCTATTATGTCTAATATCTACTAGTTTCTTATTAAGTATAGGAGATATCTATTGGGATGCCATAGAATACTATTGGATAATTAAAAGTGTTGCATGACAACACAAGGACTTCTAATTTTATTGAAAAGTTATATTAGTGAGTACTAATCATATTTATTGGCATTTTATAATACACAATAAATCATTTCTTGAAGCTAGAGTATGAATACCAATTTTAGAATTATCTTCTTTCTTACAAATTAAAGACTTCTTCTAAGAATCCTTTAAATCTTTTTATAAAGTATTATTTATTAATGACATTGAAGCGTACTTCTTATAATTATCTGGTTTTTGAGTTTGCATATGAATAGAGGATTTACGAGGTGTTTTTCATTCCATCTTTCTACTTAGAGTAGATGACCAAAGAGAGATAATGTTTGAGTTAGAATATAATGGACTTTCAACTCAATGCAATTGGTGTTGTTTATTTGACAACATTATCCCAAAATACTTAGTAGTTAGAAGCATAGAGCGACATAGTTACAAACATCAATAACATGGGACAAGAACCAAGACAATTTCTAGTATCTCTCCACTTCTATCCAAATTGAATAGGTATTCATTCAAACATACATAATTCATCTAGTAATCTTAACTCACATAAGATAGAGAAATACTTGTTATCCACTCACAATCGATTAAAGATGCTTAAAGCTATAACACATACAACATCCACAATAGTTTTGGGTCTATATTAGTTCTTGATAAGATCCATTATAGTACATCAACAACTTTAATTCTATAGATTTTTTTTAAAATTAAAGAGAAATTAATAGAAGCCTTTATAGAAACATTAAACTAACAAAAATAGTATCTTTATTACTCTAAATAATACAATATTTAAACAATTGAAATTAGAATCAAACTTTGACATAAAAAAAAATTGTTAATGAAACCATGCTTCAGCTCCGTGGATGGATTATAATGAAACATAAACTTATTCATTCACTATACACTTAGGAGGTTGCACAATGGTTTTATAACTGGTCCCAACCAACTTCAAACAAACCTCCATGCACAATCATAGCTTTCATCCATTACAATGAAGATATTTATACATCAAAAAATCTAAATTTATTAAATTGGAGAATTCTCTCTGCTGCCTTTTAAGATTCAATTCAAAGATTTATTCAACACAAAAAATCCATGTGGAACATTGAAACACAACATGCATCATTTCTCTTTGGAAATAGAATTTTGACAACACCAAAAAAAGTCAACTTTAGCACAACCACATTACATGCAAACATCAATCTAAAGATATCCAAAATCCTTCAAGTAGAGACTATAGATGTATGACAATCAAGCTTTTGCATCTTTTAACATAC